CTGGGGAGGCGGAGATGCTCCGCTGAACTTCCCGGCTTTGCGCAGAAATTGACGCCTTTTCAATTACTTTATTTGTTAGACTCTAATGCTCTACTCATGCGCAAAGTAAGCCAAAGACAGGTCTGCATTTCAAGTAAATTCACACATCGCTGCTGCAAAAGCTAAGCCGCGGGAGAAAGCGCAGCAAGTAGCTCTGCTGGTGGCAAGGTGACCCTGGCCAGCCCTCCACCTACTCTGCAGTGTCCCTGCCCGCCTCACCAGGCCTCGGAATATGCTCCACACTCTCTGCAGCCTGAGTGGGAGCAGTTTGAAACCTCCGGGGCAGCCCAACCCTCTCACTCACAGGCGGTTAACTCTGGCCAGCCCTGCCCCGCTTCACCTGGGTGGTTCCGTTTTTCTTTGCTTTATCCTTTGGGGCTTGGCAGTTCATTTGGGAAAAAGAACCGTCCATGGCTTATGAACAACTTGACAATCACGGGATTGACAGCTGTTCTGGTTCAATCTCTTTATTGGTGTAGAAACAATAGAGATTTGTCCAAATCAGTTCGAGCGCTGGGGGCAACCGCGAAGGTGCAGTTGTTAAACCCACCAGCTCACCCCCACGCTTCTGTCTCGTTCTTTCTCTTTCTCCCTCAAAACACAGCAAAGTAAAAAAAAAAAAAAATCACCCATCCTTCCAACGCACCTTTCAAAACTATGTAAGTGAAATATTGAAAAATGTCCCTTTTCAGTATAGAAATAAATACACATGTAAAGAAGAAACTATTGGATACATAAGTGCGGCTAAGACAAAAGTCAAACATAGCCCTGGTCTGTGGGGAGAAAGCAGTCCATGTTGGTGCCTCGGCCCACGACCCTCCCACTTTTTCTCTGTGCTTATTCAAACACTTCTATTTTTTCATTTTCAAGCAAAAAATTCTACTTTGTCATCTGGTTTGAACTGCACAACGCTTTTATCACTTCGCAGCGTGTTGGAGCTGTCTTTGACACAGGACATGTTCGTCTACCTCGTCCTTTGTAACTTGCTTGGCAAGCTCCTTGTGGACAGATGTTGAGGCCCTTTGCCTGTTTTGCCACAGTGTGTTGCAAAGCCTTCCTGTCCAGATATCTTACATGCTTTTCCTGTAAGTGGTGAGATTCCCAATTCATAGTATTGTTTTGCTGATAGATACAGCCCAATTGTGTCCCATCTCTAGGTAACTTGAACAGCCAGTTCAAGTCGTCTAATGCCAGGTAGGCTAGAAGTCTATTATTTTTCTCCTGGGGCCCCTTTCTTGACCAGGACCTCTATGAATTCTACTTACCCAGTGATACCAGTTCTCTTTTCAGAGAGAAAATGGAGATCTGGTCAGGCCACGGACAGGACCCCTTTTGGGTAGGGGTGGTTCCTTCCTGCCCATCATAAAGGTGTGGGTGGGGCAAAAGACAAGCCACTGGGAGAAAAGCGTAGGAAATTTGCTTCATTATTGTCTCACAGGCCCAGGTGCCGACCCACTTGTACGTTAGCTGATGCAGCTTGCTAGGCAAGCAGGAGTATGACTGGACAAAAAGGCTATGATCTGATGCTGCCAGACTGAGGGGGCACCTCACAAGCCTCAGGGGCTCAGGCTCGTCTTGCCCTTGCTGGGTAGCCCAGGAATAGGGCAGGGCCGCTTCTGACCTGAGCGTCTTACGGGCAATTCTCAGACAAGATAGGTCAGAGGATTTGACTATGGCCAGCTCCAAGACAGAAAGACAGGGAAAAATTAATGCAGTATGTTTGGACTTTATGATCTGCTTTGAGGAAAGGAGTTTTATGACCAGTCTGAAGGGGAAAAAAGTCTAATTTCTGGGGCACACTTTTCAAGGAGAAAGAGGAGGGACTAGGAGACTGAGGGGAGATCAGGGAAACCTTGTTTCTTGGGTATTGTCCAGTCCCCCCGCCCACCCCGTGTGATGTGTCCCTGTGTCTAACACGGCTGGGATTTAAGTTACCAAACAGGCCAGATCTGGAAGGTGACTTCACATTTAAACAGGACTCCAGTTAGCCCTGGAGGCTGCGCTTGAGGGGTTTGGGGGAACTCTGGCCTGACCCATGTTTTCAGCCACCTGCAGCCGGATCAGCTGGTGAGAGTATCAGGTTTGCTTCCTTACTTCTTCCTGAATTGATCCTGAGAGGAAGAGGTGTCAGGGTGGGAATTGATCTCACCTGGAGATGAAACAGGGTGGGAGGAGGTGTTTCTGGAGAGATGACCACATCCCCAGCGAGCCTGTGGCCCGGAGTCAGTAAGCCTGGGCTTTCTAGGTACATTCTCCACTTTATTCTCAGGGTGATAGTTGTTCCCACAGATCGTGTCCTCCATGCAGAAGCAGCTGAGTTGGGAGGGACTTCCCACCACAGCCTTGGACACTTTCCTGTCCCATGCCCCATGCTCTGCCCAGCACCACCAGACTCTTGTGTCAAAGACCAAGGTCAGTGGCCCCCTGCCGCCATCCAAGGCAGCTCTACCCACGGGAAGTGGGCGGGTAATAAAGAGATCATGTGTGAGCTGCCATTGGATACTAATAAGTACGAGGCACCAAGGTAAAAAGTCACGGGGGACGAGTAGGGCCCCCTGGGTCCTGCAGCTGGGAGCAGGGAAAGCCTTCAACACAAATGTGTCTCCTTAAGAACGATCTAGATCTTGTGCCTTTCAATTTTGAATATTTTTAGGTTCATCCAAATTAAATTTCTTTTGTTCTGTTTTGGTTTTTGAGACATGGTCTTGCTATGTAGCCCAGGCTGGCCTCCAACTCACAGTCCTCCTGCCTCAGCCTCCTGAGTGCTTACATGTACATCATGCCTGGCTTCTTCCAAACAGGAAAAGAAGTTTCTGGATTTTTATCGTCATGAGTTTTCATACCATATGTTTCACTATAATGTGATCTTCTATAGCCTCAGGTTCAAAAATATTCCCAAATTAAGATTAAAATAACTTAGTGATAAGTATCTAAAATGACAGTGTACAAATGAAGCCTGAAGGTCAGGAAATGAAAACTCCTCCATAGTTTTTATCTGTTCCTATCCTAGACTAGTGATGTGTCAAACAGAAAAGCTGATTTTCCCTATTGATGCTGCTTATTTCAAATTAACCCTCCTGCTGTGGTCCCCCAGGCAACAAATGAAGCATTGTGAAATCTTTTCTAGTCCTCTCAATGGGCAATTAGACATTCTTTAAGACAATGAATTTTGTCCGTATTGCACCTGATTATGCTCATTTACGAAAATGACTAAAAACAGAGAATCAAATTTTTTTGTCTGGTTACACTAAGATAATCATCAGAGCCAAAGCCAAGAGGACAGTGGGCCTGGAACCAGGCACCTGGAGCTGGGCCTCGCTCTGCCGGGAGCAGGCTGTGTGCCGCTGTAAGCCTCAGCTTTCCTAGCAGGGGGAGATCAGTGCTGCTGGGGGATGGGCACTAGAGTGCTGCCAAGGTGCAGGTGAGTCTCCAGCCCTTCAGCCAGGGCAGGACACACCACCCCTCAGTATCCAGGGAGGATTGCGTCTGCCCTCCTCAGGTATCAGGTCTCTCGTATAGAACCGTGTAGTACTTGCGTATAACCTGTGCTCGTCCTTTAAGTCAGCCCTCGAGGACCTACCATGCCTTGTACAGAGTCAGAGCTGCATGTGGTCATCACACTGTGTGCTTTAGAGGATGACGGCAGGGAAAAGTGTGCGTGTTCAGGACAGACGCACCTTCTTGCTGTCTGCAATTGACTGAATCTGCGGCTGCGGAACCTCAGACACAGAGGGACCCACTGTGTGCGTCTCTTACATTACCCATCTCAAACTGCTCACACACGCTTCATACATGTGTGCTGCATGTAATACAGTCCACAGCAAGTCTCTAAAGCAGCCAGCACATACCTGCTGACTCACCAGACAAGGAGCAAATACAGGACAGCTTTTCCTCTGGGCAGCCTTGACAATGGAATAAACTTAGATAAACACAAAATCACTTTTCCCTTCAACTCAGAACATAACATGTTCTTCTAAAAAATAATTTAGTTGAAAGATTAATCAGTGAAATCTTTGAATAAAATACAGGACACAGCACGCCTAGTCCTGCTGTCTTCCAACCTTGCCCTCCCTTCCGCCTCACTTGAGGATTTTTGTTCTGTCTCCAAAAGTATTCCAGAAAGCCAAGACTAAGAGAGAATTTCAAAATCAGCAAGAGAAGCATTTGTGTGTGCACCGCTGTTCGACAGAAAGGAAATGTGCTGCTCTGTGCTTTGCATTTTCTCATTTATCTTAAGCACTTCTTCAGACCGTGGATCTTAGAGACCGGCCGGTGGCGATAACATGGCCAAGCTCCAGAGAGCCACTCAGGTCCCGGGAACCAGCAGTGGGGCCATTGGAATAAACCGAGAAAAAATGTAAAATCACTGTCCCTCCATTGGAAAACAAAACAGTTTCATTTAAAGAGTAATCAGAGAACAGTTTGAAGTTTTTGAATAAAATAAAGGCTCTAGCAGGCCTCGAGTAGCTCCCTCCCAACCTTACGCTCCATTCCCACGGCAGGCGGGGGTCCCCTGGTGAGCAGGCAGTGCCGTGGGGCAGGAGAATCTCCGTCACCTTGGGTCACTTGCCAGATGCCAGGGATGGAGCTAGCTCAGCCCTTGTGATTGGTGGTGTAGTATTTGCATTTTCAGAAGAGGAAACCAGAACGTCAGGAAGCTAAACCCCTCAGCCAGTAAGTGCCTGCTCCCAAACTCCGTGCCCAGCACCCCGACAACTGGGTTTGGGGGTTCTCTCCCCAGTCTCCATCTCCTCAGAAGTTGATAGAAATCAAGGAGATTCTGTTGACAGTGGTGATAGATGAGCCCTTCTATCAGATCCGCAGATGTTTTAAGGGGTTCTTCTCGGGTTTAACTAGCCCCTTCAGACTGTGCACACTCTCCGGAAGGCACACCGTGGGTCTTTACGGTTTCTCCTTACTCTTCTGAATCCCGGGTGCTACTGACCTCCCTCTCTCCGCAGATCCGCGTGATGGTGGACTTGTGCAACAGCACCAAAGGCATCTGCCTCACAGGTAGGCCGGGGACTACTGCCCAGAGCCACTCACATAGCCGGCACTGGTGCCAGCCGAGGCCAGGGCAGGACGGGCACCTAGGAACGCTTGTCCTTATGAACACGCATGTTGGTTGACTTCTACCAGATGTTTTCAATAGGCTAAGAACCAGTTGTAATATAATTATGAAAATAATAATATTTTCTGGTATTGTCCTAGAAAAGGGCCATGGAAAATAACTAAGACTTGGGTAATGAGAAAGTGGTGACACCTTGAGTCGGGGCCAGAGACGTTTTCCTTATGCCTGTTGGTTTCAGAAGGACGTTTTCCTTATGCCTCCTGAGTGGTGCAGTTCTCTGACTTGAGGAGTACTGCTGCCATGGGATGTAAGTATTACACTAGGTCATGTGCACAGTGTGGACAAGAAGTTCTGGGGGGAAGCTGCTAAGTAGCCAAGACATTCTTTTCTGAAGGCTCTTCTAAGTGGTAGGCACCCTGGGCCGGGCAGGCCCTAGCGCTCCCCTCTGTGAGCTACTGACATGTGGAAAAGAGGGAAGGAACTGGCCAGAGATGCACGGCCTTAGGATGGAGACTGGCTGGGGGAAGGAGCGTGCTGGGAGGGTTTTCCATCTCTGGGTTGCCTGAGGAGAGACCGCGTGGTCCCGCCTTCAGAGGTGAGGACAGGGAAAACCCAGGTCGAAGAGCAGGCTCACCATCATGCCCCAGGCCAAGAGAGGCTCTGCAAAGCTCAGTGACCAAGGACCCAGGACCCAGGACCCAGGACCCAGGACCCAGGACCCAGGACCCAGGACCCAGGATGAGCTGTGCAGCCGACTTCAGCCCTCAGTCCCTGCTCTCCACAGAGCGGCAGCTTTCTGAGGAAATGGGGAAAAGTGTACAGGCCCCGGGGTTAAGATGACCACATGGCTTCCAAGCCAGCTGAAGGTGTCACTGGAGTCACAGATGAGCGGCCCAGGCTCCGGGGACGTCGTGTCAGCACCTCACACGTGAGAGGCCTTGCTCCACCTGTACCCGGTCATCTGCAGTGTCCACTCCACTTCCTCTTGCTGCCCGTGGGAACTGCCCAGCAGAAGGAGCGCCCGTGGGTCTGCTGCAGGGATGAGCCCGGGCTGTGAGCGTGAGTGGTGGAGGAGGTGAGCTTCCCTTGGAGCCCTCCTTGCGAGCCCCGCTCTCCTGCACTTACGGGGCTCAGAGAGAAGAGCTACCACCCTGCAGCCCCTGGGGAAATGCTAATTGAATTACTCAGGGCACTTCGTGGCCCTCACAGAGGATTAAACAGCTTGAGAACAGCCAGATCCTCTGTTCAGAAACTCTTGTGGCTTAAGTACCTTCCTTCAGCTGTGAAGTCCCTTTTCCGAGCTTGTCTGGAGGCAGTAATGAGTGCTCAGAAATGCTTCGGGGATGCAGAGATGGGCACAAAAGCTGGCTGAGAAGCCTCTTCTTTCTGGTTTTCATAGCAAGGGCCCGGAAGCCAGGCTGCATGATGAAGGCGCAAGGCGCAGCTATTAGGACCACTTAGCCGATGTGGCGGGTGACGGGGACGGCGTCCGTGCTGGGACTGTTGAGCACTCCAGATGCTTCTCGAAGGCCAGCATTTTCTCCATCCAAGCCAGCTTGAAATCGGGCCTCCTTCTGCACAGAAAGCCCTTCAATGAGGTGCTCAGGTATGAAAAATGCAAGCTGTAAAGCACGAAGCTGCTAAGGACAGTGAGTGACAACAGCACCCAGGACTGGACTTGGAGAGAATTAGGGAGTGGGCAGAGTATTCGTCCACCGTCCCACGAGGATGCCAGCAGAGGGGGCCTCCGGGGCACAGCCTGGGCTTGCGTCCAGAGCAAGACCTGGCCTCACACTAGATTCATCTACAGAGCAGGCAGGCGTGGGCTGCGGGTGCAGCTCGGTGGCAGAGCACCAGCTTCGCATGTACAAGGCCCTGGGTCTTGTACACCACACACACAAGCAGGTGTGTGTCACTGTGGCCTAGTCCAGCTGTGAGTTGAAACCCTTGTGCAGCCTGGGACTTCTCAGCGATTCCCCAGCTAGAGGGGTCGGGGCAGTCTGTCAAGCAACATATGACATGCTTTTCTGGATGCCTCTTGTACTCCTGGGCCCACACTTCCTTGGGACCCCAGAACCATACCTTGGCTTGCAGAAGGTAGATTCTTGGATTGTTCTTCACTTACAGTGGCCTCCCACGCGGACGTAGAAAATGTCAAACCTGTCCTGTGGCTGAACTGCTTGTTGGGGGAGGGACACCTCAAATCCACAGCACCCAATCTCCGTGCAGTGGAGGGAGCACGTGTCCTTACTCCTTCTATCCAGGCAGATGCCCATGCCATATCCCCACGGTGCCCCACATGGCCTCAGGGCACTCCTTCCTTGCATTCCAGAAAGCCACTGCTTCCATGGGTTGGACTGACACTTAAAACTACCGGCCATTCCTACGGCTCAAAGTGGCAATGCGCCCCCTAAGTAAGACTGAGCTGAGGCTGTGGTTTACTGGGGACATGTGAGAAGAGAGAGTTTTCTCACCGGTGCCTGAGGACTTAGCCCACTGCCGGGCCAGGGCAGCTTCAGAGGGCTCAGCCAGTGCAGCCTCAGGAACCGGAAGGACAAGCTGTACTCTGACTGCTGGCAGAGTTGCTTCTGTTCTCACCTAGCTGGACGTCCTGAGTAACACGGCCTGTTGCTTCAGTGTCTGTGGGTTCAGGCCCAAGTCTGAGGCTCGGGGCTTTCAGGCCATCCCTTAAGAGAGCCAGGCGGATGGCTCCCCTGGGAAAGAGTCCACACCGCCCTGAGCCCAGCTCCCGCCTGACCCTGACGCCGTGGCGGGCAGGAAGCCCACACCACAGGGATCGTTGCAGGAGGAGGAGAGGGAGAGCAGCTGACGTCTCAGCCTGATGTCTCAGTTCAGGACACCGCATTTTCAGGAGTCCTTCTAGAGCAGCGGGCCTGGGCTGACCTCCAAGCGCACTTCTGTGGGTTTGGTTTGCTTTCCCTGGGCTTCTGTGTTGCTGCTGCCAGCAGGACGTCAGGAGACGCAGAGTTGCCGCCTCTGTGGTCCTTGCTGCGCTGAGCAGGTGCCTGTGCTCGGGTGACTCCCATTTCAGCCCCATCCCAGGGTAGAAGGGGAGGCTGTGGGGACAAATGAGAAACCCCTGGGGTGATTCTCCGCCCCTCCATGCGAGCCTGGGAGACCGCGTGGCAGGTCACATCACAAGTGCCCAATCGCAGACCTGCAGGGTCGGCCTCTGGCTGGGACCCCGTCTTGGGGACGGGGTCTGACCCTTCCTTCCCCCTCCTCAGTACTTGCCCGGGTCTGTGGTGCCTGTATTTCTTGTCTTGAGATTCGGCCATGTGCCAGTGTAGGGCTCCACCAGCACTTACCTGAGAAGAAGCGGGGTGATGTCACAAGCCGTGATAATGACAGAGGAGTGCTTGTGGAGGTAAGCGAGGCTGTGCTTTGGCTGCATCCACCCAGAGACCTCGGTGGCCTGAGGCGGCAAAGGCCCATGTCTCATTCCGCAGGGTTTGCACGACTCTCCCAGCGAGTTCTGCTCCCTCTGGAGCGCAGGTGCAGGCTGCTGCACTGGGGCTCTGTCCTCTCAACCCCGGGCACCAAGCTCGCCCCCCAGGAAGGCAGGGAGCAGTGGTGTCTCGCCCACCAGGGACCCCACATTCCACCCCTCAGAGGGTGGGCTGAATGTGGCCAATTCTTGGGGGCCGTGAGCACCTGCATCCCATTGGTCTGCCGTCCTTGGTAAAAATGCAGGTTCCCGGGCCTTGCTCTAAATTCACACTGCGTGCAGCTCTCCAGAGGGGACCCGGGTGCTGCCTTTTAACAAGCACTGCGGGTGATGGGCCCACACCGTAGGAACTGTGACCAGGGTCCCCGTCTGGAGATGCTGGCCAAGGCCAGCAGGTCCCCGGTGCACAGCTCCAGGGGCAGTGTCACCACGTCCCGCCCGTGAACATGACAGCGAGGCTCTCCGGGAGTCTCGGAAACCTGCTGTATACACTCAGTCTTGCGTCCTCTGGGTGTCAAGCTGCCCTCCTCCTGACCCCTGCTGAGCGGCCGCCTCATCCCTTCCCAGTGTGCGTGCGCCATCTGATGGCAGCGCCGTGTAGCCGCAGGCTGTCCTGACTGGAAAAGGCGAGGCCATTCCACAAATCACTTGGGCTGAGGCGGACTGCATGTACTGAGTGCGGGCCTTAAAACACCTATTTCCCTGAGTGCCCCATGTCCCCGGCCTCTGTCATCTGCGTCCCAGGCCCCCAGGCCCCCAAGTATCCAGGAGGGCTCCTACCTAATCAGATGAGGAGTCTCGCTCGCTCCGCTGAAACACTGGATCGCCTAGCTTTCGCTGCAGCTCTGCCGTCACATTTTCCCACAGCCGCTCTTTGGTTTTAACTCCGAAGATCCGGGTATTTTCCCGGTCTCTGCGTCTCTTTCATCTCAGTCCACCCAGTTCGGCTGAATTCCCAGCCACACTGATTTCCCAGCATCACCCTGGCTTCAAAGCTCCTGCAGCCCTCTGCTGTGTCTCCGATGTCGTCCACGCCTCTTGGCTTGGGCGCAGTGCTGCTTGTGCGCCCTTCACCCACAGCGGGGTCCAGGCTCACCCCCACCCTCTCCAGTTCTGCCTGTCCTTCTCCTGCCCTGAACCTTGCAAGTGCCCCCCGTGAACCTTCGCTCCCGCTGAGCCCTGCCACGTACGCCGGCCCTCCCGGCAGCGCTCAGGCGCATCCTTTCTCCAGGGCTGTAGTTCAAGACTCCTCTTCTTGGAAGCCTTCCAGACAGCTGTGCATGCACGCTCCCCAGGGCCGCTCTGCGGTTACTTCCTGGTTTCCCGTGTTGCACTGAGGTTCCCAAGGGTCCCCTTCCCCATGTGGATGTGAGCCCTTCAGACAGAGACTGTCAGTCTGAGACGGTAGAGTTTGGTGCACACAGTAAGTGCTTGGTCAGTGCTGGTTTGGGAATGTCACAGGCTTGGATGTGCGGAGAGACCTTTGCACTCGTGTTGGTGATCGTCACATGTGCTGGAGAAACAAAAACCAAAACAGAGAGAAGTGTTTCTTGATCCACTGACACTTAAGCAAAAGTGGTTTGATTAGCAGATGAGTCTGTTGAATTGCTCTGAAGGGCAAATATTATGAGCTCTAAATACAAGATGTGGGATGGGTTTCTAGGACATTTTAAGGACGGGGTGGGGGTGGTGCTTTTTTTTTCTTCCACCCGCAGTTTACCATCAAAATTTCTTTTCTGTTCTAGGACCACCTGGCCCACCAGGTAGGTGCTGTGACCTCTGTTCGCCGGCAGGGAAGGGGGCAGGTGGGCTGGTCCCCCAAGCTCCCTCTGATGGGAGCGAAGTGGGGGAAGGGAAGGGGTGGGGGCAGCTGGTTACTCCCCTTCCTTCTCTGCGTCCCGTCACCCCGCCCGGGACCTGCCACCCTGTCCCCCGGCTGTCACCGCTTCAGATGGGGAAGGAAGGAGCACAGCAGAGAAGAACCTGCTCGTTCCTTAACTACAGGGACTCACATCAACTCCAGGGCAGATTTTAAGCTCCTCTTTCCCTGTCTTGACTCAGGACCTCCAGGAGTTGATGGGTTACCAGGACACAATGGATCTGACGGACAGCCTGGGCCGCAGGGCCCAAAAGGCGAAAAAGGAGCAAATGGGAAAAGAGGAAAAATGGGTATGTTGGCATTTTGTCTAATCAGCTGCCTTATTTCTCGTCTCCATGGTTGCACCCGGGGTAGGCTAAGCGCATGCACCAGCGGCCACATGCTGTGCTCCTGCCTGAAGACAGGGCTGCTCGCACCCACAAGCCGCTGCGTGCTGGTGCCAAGGCATCTCTTCTGTCCAACCCTGGCGCGCGCTTATGTCCAGCTGGAGAGTCCGTTGGTCCCTCTGGGAACTGGCTCCTACTTTCTGCTCTCTCTGATGCGCAGGGAAATTGGGATGGAGCGGGAGCCAACAGCCCGGGGAGGGAACACCCTGCGGGCTGTGCAACAGCTGCGGCGCTGGCACCCTCGCTGTCCAGGCTCCTGCTCGCCCTTGCTGCCTCCTCCTCCCCAGCAAGTCCTTGCGTTCGGTGGAAAAATCACTGGCTGACTTCGGCCTGCTCTGTGGGCACCGTTCCCAGCTAGAGGAGATCTCTGCCTGCGGGCGCAGGATGGCAGCACCAAGGCAGCTCTGCCGCGGGTGTGGCCGGGGCCTTGCTCAGCTTGGAGCAGGGCATCACCAGCGTCTGGGCAAAGCCCAGAGGCACCAGGGTGTCCGGTGCATCCAAAGGGCAGTGAGAGCCGGGCTCGTGCATCCTGGCAGAGGCTGGGCAAGGCTGGAGCAAGGGCCTCAGGGCTCTGGGCACCTGTCCTGGTGTGCAGCTTCCCACACCCTCAGAGCTGGCCCAGGGAGGGAGAGGCCAGCAAGGCTCGGTCAAGAGTGAGCACCGGGAAGCTTTTAGGAAGGCCAGCCCCTGGTCCCCAGGCGAGAGCACTGCCTGGACGGGAAGGGTGACTGTGGGAGGAGCCCAGGTCCCCCTCACCTGTCCAACCCGGGGCTCCAGGGTGAGAACCCTCCTGGATGGGCCCTGGAGGAAAGCTAGCAGGTTCTTCCAACACTCTACCTGCCCTTTGGAGCACCTCTGCTGGTGCTCTTCCAGTGATTCGGTGAGAGCCAGGAGACAGGGAGAAGATTGCCGGGCCCCTCTCCCCTCGGCAGCCCACCCACCACGGCCCAGGGCGCAGCACTGTGGACGCCCCAGGCACGCACAGTCCAGGGCCACAGCTACAGCAGAAATTACAGAGCAGCGAGGGCTGTCTCGTTGGTTGGTATAATAATTACAACCACAGCTGAGCAGCCGTGTAGAATAACCACAGCCAGCAGCTGCGGCGTCCAGTCTGCCCCGGAAGACTCCGCCTGTGGCGCGCGCCTGCGCACTCAGCGCCGAGCAGGGGGCACCCGCTCCGGCTGGGGCTGTGGGCTAGGAGTAGCGGGGCGCTGGGAAAGGGACGCCTTCCCAAGACTGAGGCCAAGGCCCAGCTTAGCGTGTGACCTTACAGCCGAGGGGAGGCAGAAAAGAAAAGGGCTGCTCAGCCACAGAGCAAGGGTTCGTCTGGCGGGGGCGCTCCACACGCTGGAGATGCAAAAATGACCCAGGCTCTGCACACGAGGACAACATCCCTCCCTGGAAGGCAGTGACAAAGACCCAGGACAGGAGGGGGGGCTTGCAGTTCACTGTGACAACCAGGGGACATGATTGCCCACTGCCCACCATCACTCGGGAGTTCGTACACCTCTCCTACAGGGGTGGGAAGTGTTGCCAATTTTGAGGGCTTGTCCGTGATTACTGGGGAGAATGAATGGTCCTAGGGACAGAAATCAGCTCTGATAAAGATTCTCTTTTGGCCAGGTATGGTGGCGCATACCTATAATTCCAGCTACTTGGGAGGCTGAGGCAGGAGGATCACAAACTCAAGGCCAGCCTGTGTTAGCAAGACTCTGTCTCAAAAAGAGAAACAGTCCGGGATGTAGCTCCATGGCAGAGAGCTTGATCCAATCCCCAGTACTTAAAAAAGAAAAACAAAGCCACCAAGTACAGCAAGTGGGGCCTGAATACAGGGCCCCTGCTGTTAACCGCAAGGATGCTCAACGTCCCGGCCAGGGACTCGGGCCCGGTGTGAGTGAGGCCTGTCGGGAGGCCACGGGCAGCAGCCAACAGAAGCCTGGGGCTCTAGGGCTGGCGCAGCTGACTGTGCGGAAGGCTGGTATTGCCTGTCCTGCTGATAGTGCCTGTCCAGCTCACAGAGTGGCCTGCAGGATGCGCGTGAGGGCAAGCCGTCCCATCAGCAATAGCCTGCCCAGCGGACAGAATAGCGGACGGAGCTCTAGGACACTGCCCGCGTCCTCTACTGGCCCACGGCCTTCGGAGGTCACTCTGCCATCACCACCAGACCTCCTCACGGGGTCACAGCTCCATCGCAGCTTCCCTTTTAAATATTCCGCTGTGGTGCGTGCGGTCTGTGGCGGCAGGAGCTATGTCTGGTCAGTTCTGGGCTTTGTCACTCCTATCTGCTGGGCTTGGTGTGGGCTCAATAAATAATGTACATAGTCGATGAGAGAAGAAGTGGAGCACCAAGGAGTGAGTGCTGGCCTATCAGTAACGACTGACTCGGGCTGGAAGGCTGCTCCCTACCCCTCGGCGGGCAGTGCTGCCCCAGAGTGCACCGGGCCTCCCTGTGTGCCAAGGGACACATGGGAGCTGGGGCGGGCGGGCTGTGCAGCAGAGGACAGAGGACAGGAAGACAGGAAGAGGGGTGGTTAGCCCTGGGGAACAAGGCCAGGTGGCCAGGGACAGAGGCCTGGGCTCTCAGGATACACAGCCACGCCAGTACCAGAGGGGGATCAGAGCTGGCCCCGGGGCTTCCGCTGCGTGTGTGTAGGAGCAACAGAGAGCCCTGGGACTCCTGAGAGCCTGACCGGATGAGGCTGGGGAATGGAAGCGTCAGAAAGCCCAGCTTGCTAGGAACGGTGGGGGGACAGCGCAGAGCCAGCCCCAGCCCAGCGCCCCGGTCCCGGCTCTTCCTTTCACCAGCTGTGCACCCTGCGCAAGTTACTTGATCACTTCGTGCCGCAGATGCTGATGTGTAGGATGGAGACAAGAGCGCTATCAGCCTCAGCTGCTGTCAGGAAGAGTAAATGAGCTGGCATACAGGAATCGATTAGCGTAAGGCCCAGCAACCGTAAGTTCTGTGTTAGCGGGAGCTATTATTGTTGATTATAAAAAGGCGGAAGAAGCAGCTTGGTTTTAGACCAGAAGGAAGTCTTTTCTTTCATTCTTTTGTTCATTGGTCCTGGTTTTTTTTGCTTGTTCAACTCTTAAACTTTTGTATTAGTATCATTTTAGCTGGATATGATGCTGCACACCCATAATCCCATCTGCTTGAGAGGCTGAGGATGCAAGCTGGAGGCCAGCCCGGGCAACTCAGCCAGACCTTGTCTCATTTTAAAGAAAATTTTAAAATGAGCCGGACTGTAGCTTACTGGCAGAGCACTTACCTAACATGCACAAGGCACTGGGTTCCACCCCTAATACTGCAAAAACAAGTATATTATTTTTAAATCGACACATTATGATTATACCTAGTTGTAGGGCCCAGCGTGGCATTTCAGTACATGCATGCATATGCAGTGATCAGACCAGGGTCATTACCACATCTATCAAACTCAGACATTTGCCATTTCCTTGCCCTAGGAGCATCCAAGTCAACCCCGTTAGCTATGTTGAAGTATTCAGCTGGTCTTGTGAGCCAGAGTTATCCTGTGTTGCCACAGGACTGTAGCAGTCACTCCCCCCACCTGGTTATGCACTGTACCCACCACCCATCCACCCCACCCCGGGCCCTGGTACCTACTCACCTGCTCTCTGCTTCTTTCGGATCAACTACAGCTGTCATACATGAGAACACATGGTAGGCATCTTTCTGTGTCTAAACGATGTCACTTAGCAAAATGTCCTGGCCCAAAGGAAGCTAGCTGGAAAAGTGCTGCATGTGTTTGGAAATACAGGCTTGGATGAGGGAGAATTGGAACCAAGAGGGACCCCAGTGCTGTCCACTATGCAAGCAGCATCTTCTGTGAAGTGTGACAGTTGGGTGCCTCAAAACCAAGCACTGTCTATGCCTTTGATTTCCCCACTGAAGAGTTAATGCTGCAATGTGGTCTCTAAAAATCAAATCCTCCTTCTAAAAAAAAAAAAAATATAGAAATACACACCTCCTCCTTCTTGACACCTTGGGACTGGGTTTTGTGTGACATCCTCTGGTCCCCTTTCTCCTGCCTTAGTCAGCGACAGCTGGCACTGCCAAAAATAAACTGTGTTCCCGCATCCCCTGTGGAGAGGATGGTGGAGTGAACCCCAGCCCCGTGCTCTCACACACCCCCCGACTCTGATGGCGGTGGAACTGTTTATTTTGAGTGGGCAGCAGCAGAAGAAAAATAGCAGAGAGCCACTTCTAGCGCAGGAGTCAGGCAGGCAGGATCTGGCCTTTCTGGGGTGGCAGAACGTGCCCACTCAAACCAGCCGGGAGTCAAGGCATGGATGGTGCCCAGGTCCAATCCAAGCTGCGTCATAGCATCACTGTGCAGGGTGACCGCCCCAGCACCCCGAGTCCGGGTAGAAAACGCAGCTCACAGGTCCGCTGATGTGAATGGAGTCAGGTGGTGTTTTCTTTCCGACACTGCAGCCAGCGCATGGGCAAGTTGTTGTTGATTCTGCCGACAAAGGCCAGGGGACACTTGGTCAGACGTGACGGTCAATAAGAGGGCGGAGGTTGTTTTCCTGTGTGAGAAACCCAAAGAGCAAATAAGGAGCAGGACGGAGGAAAGGTTTGGGAAGTAGAAAGAACATGTTCCAATGGGAAGGGACCGAGGGAGGGGAGAAGGAGAAGGGAAAGAGATACGTGGAAACAAAGCTTCCGGGAATGGGGTGGAGAGGAAGAGTTGAAGGGAGGGACGGAATGGGAAAAAAGAATTAAGGCCTATTACACACAGGTGCAGACTCCCTGTGATGAGTGTGACCCGTGTGTGTGACAAATGTGCACTTAAAAACAGGTTATGAACAACGAGAGGGTGAAAGCAGACGGTGCTTCCTCAGTGAGGGCGTGAACTGACGCTCGCCCAGCTAAGAGGCCTTAGGCCCCCACCCCGGCAGCCGTCGTCCTGCCTCTCACAGGACCGATTTGGGAAAGGAAATAAAGGCCCGAGAGGCAGGCATGAAAGAAAGGGCGGAGAAACTGGACGATGATGCCCACAAGCCCTTTGTGCTGGAGTAAAGGCCTGATAAAGAAAACCCAGAGCAGCCGGCAGAGGCCCGCCGCAGCACAGCGAGATCGGCTCTGAGAGCCGCAGGGGATGGAGCAGCGGGGCTCAAACAGGACTCTGTGGCAGCGTCCGGCTTTGTCCCCTTCACACACTGGGCCAAATCGCCTATTCAGATCCTGACAAAGGCACTTGTCTCGCACAGGGCCCCGCGCAAGGCTCTTCTCCAGTGTAGGAGCCACTTTCCTGCCCCGTGGGCTGGGGACCACAGCCTGGTCTCCCGTGAGCTTGGCGGGGACCGGTCTGCGCTGCGGCACCCTCAGCGGCCAGGACCGTTGAGTCTTCCTGTGGTGGCCCTGGGTCCCCTGGGACCAAGTGCTGACCATGGAGGCCCTGAGCCCCTCCTGCTCCCTCGGGTGTGCTGCTGCTCCAGGCAGGGACCCCGGGCCTCCTGGTGCTCAGCTCTAGCTGAATCTCCGCTTCCACTGAGATTTTGCAGTGTTTGGCTGTAGCTGAGCAAGTGTTTCTTTATCCTCTACGCTTCCTAGCAGGGATAAATGCCATGAGGCCCTTCTGTGTGCTGCTGCCTTACCTGGCTGGTCCGTGGCAGCCCCCGACTGTGCAGATCAGAAACCACTGGAGAGCTTGTCCTGTGGAGTGAACGCAGGTTGCCAGAGCTCAGGCTGCCTTGCTAGGGATGACTGAGTTCCGCCGCAGGGCAGGGTGTTCGGGTGCAGGGGTGGTGCTGGGACCGGAAGCCCCCATACTGAAAGTGCTTGAGCAGAGCCACTCACACGGCCCATGGAGGCCTGGAGCGGGGGAGCTGGGTGACCTGTGAGGTGCCTCCCCGCATGGAGCGCTGCGGTTCTCCTGAGGTCACAATACTGCGGCAGAGCTGGCATGGGAGGGAGGATCCTTGCAGTGCGGAGGTGACAGCCGGAGAACGGGTTCTGGTGAGGCCTGCAGGGTGTAAGACAGGGGTAAAGGCGCAGTCACGGAGCTGAGGCCATGTGAAGGAACATGAGAATGGGCTGGGCAGTCAGGGAAGCCAAAGGACCCACCCTCCGCTGCAGTGTCGAGAGAAAGGTGCACTAGCACTGGCCCGGGCCTCTGGCTCCTCATGCTCCCGAAATCTGCCACCCTGGGCGGTGCGCCCGAGTGTCTGGAGATAGAGCGTCTTGTTACTCGATCTGTATCTAGCAATGCCTGTGCAATGCTAGGCAACCCCTTTCCCTCTCTGGGCCCCACGGGTACCTGTATGCGGAGTCCCAGTGTCCTTGGGTGGGGCCCACCGAGGTCCGAGAAGATGTGGGCCTCGCCTCTCCTGGCTGTGCTCTTAACTGATCATCACAGAAAGGCATTCCCAGGTGGATCTCGAGAGACAGAGGCAATTTGTCAGGCAGGATCAGAGAAGTACACGCTCAACCGGAGAGCCATCAGGCCCGGGGTTGGGGCGTTTGTGGGGCCTTGGGTGTCCTCCAGATGGGTGACCTGCGAGGTCAGTTCCTTGAGTTATTTATCTTATACGCAGTGTCCTTCAGGTTACCCATTACCAGGCTAAAGTGAAAATTGATTTTACCAATGGGGTTCAAATGCAGTTTGCACGTGTTTGAAGTTTAGTGATATGGTACCATATTAACAGAATTTTCTTTCAGTGTGGAGGTCTTTGGAATTTGTGGAATTATAGCATGTGAAGAAAAACACAGGCCGAATTTATGGACTCATTGTATCTTTAAGACTCTTAAAGGCCGGGTGTGGTGGCACATGCCTGTAATCCCAGAATTCTGGAGGCTGAGGCAGGAGGATCACAAGTTCAAGGCCAGCCTAGTTTAAAAGAGCTGAAAGTAAAAGGAAAATATGTAGGTTTGTGCTAATATTGTTTGGAAAATTAAATGCTGATATCTTATACTCTGAGGAACTAATTTAAAGATAACAATATGCAGTATGTTGACCATTGTTTCCCTCCTATCATATTGTTTTGAAATTTTTTTTGTTTTTTGTTTCTTTTTCTTTAAAATAAATTTTAAGAAAGATAAAAGAGCTGGAGATGCGGCTCAGTGGGAGAGCACTCATCCAGCACTGCACAGGGCTCTGAGAACTCCCGTACACAAAACACTGAGGCGAGTGGAGCCCTAATCTCATCCCTGATATTAGGGGAAAGCACTTGGTCTTTCTCCGGTAAGGGTGATGTTAGGTGTAGACTTACTTTAGGAACAATGGATGTTGAATTTTATCAAATGCCTTTTCGGCTCTCACTGAGATGATCGTACAATTTTTTTCTTGCTTACATTGTAAGCAATGGAAGAATGACGGGGAGTCTGTGAAACGCTTAGCACACTCCACCTCCGCTCTGTCCACATTGTAAACGCTGAATTGCACTGACTGAGTGATTTAAATTTTAGAGTCCGCTCTGCCAGCCAGATCAGTCTGGCCCTATCCCACTTGCTCTGAAGCTTTGTGAGGATGGGTTCATAGCCACCTGAACCCCGCCCTATTCAGTTCCACTCCTAAGACTTTTCGAGAGCCCTACCTATTTCCATCTGCACATAATAATAGGTCTGCCTTGAAAGAAGTAAGAAAACGGCTTATTCTGAGCAAGATATGAGTGACCAGCCCGCGAATATGGATCCAAGCTTCGCGGAGTAATGCGTTCCAAAGTGAAGGAGGTTACACCAACTTTTCTAGCCAAAGAACACAGAAAATCACAAGTCAATACATTCAGCAAAGACATTAGCAGGAGCATCAGATCACGGGCTGCGGCAAAGTGGGGTGGATCTTTTCTGTAGACTCAGATGTTGTAGCATTCTTCTCCTTAGGCTCTGCGGAAGCTGACGATCTGATGAGCTTAACACCCTCCGAGCTTACCTGACCACAAGAACGTTAGGTTGGCTACAAGGGCTAACTGTAAGTGGCTATTTTCCTAAGGAAGCCTGAGGTAATTTTGGCTGAGGACACTAACACACCATCTTGTAAAGGGTCACTATGTTCCACGGAGCCATGGTCAGGCTGCAGGATCTTTAACACAGATGAAGTAGGATAGAAGAAACTTTAAAAATAGGTCAAAAGGTGACGAGGAAATTGGAATTTTAAAATTGTACTTTTAAGAGAAAGCACAACTTCAGGAAACTCAAAAAAATTCCTTAAATCACAGTAAGCCTGGAACTTGGACTCTGGACCGTCCTTTCCACCTATAAATTGCGAGTCCTTCACCCTCAAGGAAGCAACAATACTAGCGAGTAACAGATCTCAACTTCATCTGGTGTAAGCTTGTGTGGGGGTATAGTCCTGTAATCCAAGCACTCAGGAGGCTGAGGCAGGAGGGTCATGTGTGTGAGGCCAGCCTGGACTATATAGTGACACCCTATCTCAAAAAGTGAAAAAGAAAAGGACTGTATAAACAGAATGGAAACATCCGTAAAACAAGGGTGCCAATGCCTCTTGACATGCGTCTTGCACTATGGCCTAACGGATGCTTTTCCTCTTTCAGGGCTGCCTGGAGCTACAGGAAATCCAGGGGAAAAGGGTGAAAAGGGAGACCCGGGTGAACTGGGCCTGCCCGGAAACGAGGGCCCACCAGGGCCTAAGGGCGAGAAGGGGGACAAAGGAGATGTGTCCAACGACGTCCTGCCAGCAGGTAGGGGCCGCCCGCTCCACTCCCAGTGCTACCACCTCCGCTCTGTCCACATCCATGGCCCTCTTTCTGTTCTGAGCAACTTCTGGGATTCTGTACATTTGAAGAGGAGAAAACTGTGTGTGTTTTTCCATATGGGCAAGGTCAGATTTGGATCTCAGCATGAGCCTTTTTTTTCAGCACTGGGGACTGAACCTAGGACCTTTGCACTGAGCTATATCCTTAGCCCTGAGCCACATCCCCAAGTCACTGAGTTGTCTAGGCCTGGGGAAGGGCCTAGTGGAGGGAGCTGCTCACCTCATGGCAGCTGGAAGAAGAGAGGGAGGAAGGGGGGGTTCGTCCTTCCAGGTCACGCCCCCAGCCACCGGCTTCTCTAGATCAGACCCCACGTCCTACAGCAAGTCAGCTGGGTCCACTTCATGGCCCAACCCTTTTCTGAAAGCCCCACCGAGGGGCGTGTGGAGATCCTGGGGACATCCAGATCTAAACAAGAGCAGGTGGCTTGGAAGAATGACGGGGAGTCTGTGAAACGCTTAGCACACTCCTGGCACGCGGCAGGCCCTCAGCCCCTCCTGGGGTGCTAACGCAAGTCACCTCAGGGAAGGAGCGGCTCAGGGGGACCCCATAGTCCTTCCCCTCACGGGAAACCTGTTCCAGTGGATAGCGCTGCATCAATCTCTCTCTCCCTCTCTCTCCAGGTGCCAAAGGTGACCAAGGCGCCCCCGGCCCGCCTGGGCCCCCCGGACCCCCTGGCCCTCCTGGCCCACCCGGAAGCAGAAGAGCCAAGGGCCCTCGGCAGCCAAACGCATTCAACGGCCAGTGCTCAGGTCACCAGCCCCTGCCCCGGGTGCCCACCGTTCCGTGGGTGATCCCAAGCTCTGGTCGGCACCCCAGGCTTTGCAGCCAGATTTTCTAAAACAGATGGGGAGATCTTGCCCCCAAAGCAAGTCCCCCGTGGCAGCTGCTGGTGGGCGCTGCAGGCAGTGTGTCCTGGGAAAGAGGAAAGGTGGAGGACGGGCCCCCACCCAGCGCTCCGCCTCTCCCCTTCATCCACCCTTCCCCTCCTCCTCCTGGCACCCTGTCTTGGTTATTTTTCTCTCGTTGCTGAGACAAAATACCCAACGCCCAAAATGAAGGAAGGAAAGGTTTGTTTAGCTCATAGTTGCTGGAGGTTTCAGTCCATGCTTGGCTGGCTCCGAGGCAGATGGCACATGGCAGAGGGCAACAGTTCATGGCAGTGGAAGGGCAAAACAACAAGAGCACAAGGGGGAGGGCCAGAGAGGAGCAAGCCTCTCTCCCTCCCTTACGTTGTAAGCAGGCTCCCTCACCCCGGAGGCATGCAGCACTCACATAATCTCTGTGCCCTCCTCCTGCACAGGCTCAGGGTGATACAAGGTAAGCACCTGGCTCCCTGCTGAGTCACTCATTTAACCTCCTAAACTTCTCACACTGACACATCCATGAACAACATCCCAGAGCAAGGAGGGCGTGTCCTTTTCACTGCAGGATACAGAACTGCTGGGTCACTTAGCCAAGCCTCTAGACTCCCCAGGTTGACACAGTGTATCAACAATAACATGCCCTCAAGGCGAAGCTGCTGGCTGTGACCTTCTGCAGTGACCATCACCTGGGAGAGCAGCGACAGGACAGCGGGGTGGGTGCCCTCCCTCCGGTGTCACTACAGCGCAAGGGGGGCCTGGTGACCTCCGCCACGGAGCCACACCCCAGCCCTGCAGCACCCGTGGCTAAATGCTGGTGATGTGCCAGCCGTGGCGCTAGGAGCTTTGTTCTTTTAATCCGCATACCACCCTACCACACTCGCATCTGCACTGTCTCCGTATCACGTTCAGAGGTGACACTGGAAGAGCCAAATCCTTTGTCCAAAGTCACTGTGTTAGGGACTCAAACCCAGGCCACCTGGCTGTGCAGCCCCAGCTCTGAGAGCGTCCTCCTTCTGGAGAGGAGAGGGAGGTCACACCCAGGGACCTGGCCCGGCCGCCCGAGGGCGGGAGTCCCTGACATCTGGTGGCCCAGAGGACACGCCTTCAGCGAGTCTGTGGCAGGGGCCCCGTGAGATAGCACGTCATTAGGAATCAAGGGTCACAGGGGTGGGAAATGTTTCCGGGTGACTTCAGCGCTTGTTCCAGGACGAGCCGACCCAGGCAGGCCACCTAACTTCCTCCAGGAAGTGCGGTACGGCAGTGGGGGCGGAGGCCCTGGTGAAGTTTCTGCCAGACTCCTAAGCAGCCTTGCTCTGTGTGGCGCCCTGTTCTCAGGAGGACCTCCCAGGGCCCAGCACTCTGCTGTCTGAGTGGGCGGGTCTGGGCTTTCAAAGACGTCACCACCTGTCCCCTGGGGATGGCGCCTGTAACTACTCTGCCCCTCAGCGGACTGGACGGGGTTGACGTAGAATGGCAGACGTCTCTGCCCTCACTGGCCCCTGAGCGGGCCTGTCACCTGGGAGGAGAGTTCTGACCGGAGCATTCACAGAAATCCTGTTGGCCGGAGGCTCTGTCACTGTCCAGGCTCATGACAGCTGCCTTCCCTGAGAGGCTGTGTCGTCCGCTCTGCCTGAGGAATGGAGTCCTGGGCTGCCGGCTGCTGCATCTGCCGTTTAGTTCCAGGGATACACAGACCAGAGGCAGTGAGAGCACACATGGGGTCAAACCGCTTCCAGACTGCTGTCCTCAGGGCTTCAGGGAAAGGCCTCGCCGAGCTGGAGACCTTGGAGGGCAGCCCCTTGCGGTTCTCCCGAGAGCCTCCCTGGGACAGTGGAGAGGCTGCCCTTTCTGTCTGAGTTTTCCCTGAGGAACGGGCCTGGGCCCTTCCAGAGTGCCAAGCCAGCCCCAGGCCACAGCCCCAGGCCAGCCCTGTCACCCGCCCACTGGCCGCCACACTCTCCCCACACCACCTTCGCTTCCTTTCATTAAGAGGACCGCTGCCCAGGCAGGTGGCCTCCAACCCCTATGAACCAGGGGGTCCCCACACGTTTTCACGCAGAGGATCAGCAGGCCAGGAATGGTGGCCCAGGCCAGGCAGCGCCTTGGCTCCTTCCTCCTTAGAGTTCTGTGACTCTGTCCTGACACCTGTCCAAGGGAGACCCAGGAAAGCAGGCCACCTTATCCTGAGGCTGCGCCTTCCCAGCTTCCTGCTCCCCCAAGAGTGAAAATCCTTCCAGAACAGTCTGTGCGAGAGACCCTGCCTCCAGGGAGACGAGGAAGGTGCCACCAAGCCTCTCTTTCCCGGTGGCTGAGGGCTCGAACAGGCTGACTCAGGCCACTGTGTCCCCTTCACTGACCGCTGTGACTCAGATGTGTCCCCAAGTACACACGCTGGAGACCTACTGCCCTATGTAACTAGGATAAGAGATGGGGTCCTTAAGAGGTGACTCGGTGGAGAGGCCTCTGCCTTCGTCCGTTATCACAGGAGAGGGTTCCTCACAAAGTGTGGGTTCCAGTCTCTCTCCAAGGAGTGCCCTGCCATGTTACGACACCTCCAGGGGCCCTCACCAGAGCCTGCCTTCCATCTCAGACTTCCCATCTCCTGAACCATGTCTGTCACAAGCTACCCAATCTCTGGTGCTCCCTCAAAGCCGCACAAAACAGAAGGAGACACCAGTGTCCTCTCGGGACTGTGCTATCCTAGCAACCGTAGTTGTGCCCATCTTGTCAGAAGCTCACCAGGTGGGAGAAAGCAGAAGCACGTGGCCTGGGGGTGCGAGAAACTCAGTGAACCTATGTCACAGGGATGCTATGGGGCAGCAGAGCTGGAAAGCTAGGTCATCCCACGGTGCCAGCCGTGTCTGCTTTGACATTGCTGTTTCAGGGGAGACGTGTGCTGTACCCAATGATGACACCTTGGTGGGAAAAGCTGATGAGAAAGGCAGTGAGCGGCATGCCCCACAAGCAGGTATGAAGCAAAGCATCCTGGGACTGGGTGCAGCTCGGGTAGGGCGCTTGCTGCCATGGGCAGGCCTTGGGTTGGATCTCGGCACTGAAAAACAAAAGAAAAAGAGCATCTTGTTCTGAAGTTCAAAAACTGGATGCCTTGAAGTCCTAAGTAGCAGGTGACTTTCTTTCCTCTCCTCTCCTCCCCTCCCGTCTCCTCTCCTTTCCTTTTGTTTTGGCAGAATCCACGGTTGCTTCCATTGGAAAGCCAACGCAGGTACTGAAAGTCACAGAGACGTTTGGGACGTGGATAAGGGAGGCCGCTAACAGGAGCGACGAGCGGATTTGGGTGACTGAACACTTCTCAGGTGCCTTTCGCTACAGCTGATCCGAACCTGTGCTGGGATTGTAGTTTCCTCTCCCTTCGGGGGTACCCTACGGCTGTGTGTACTCCGAAGTCCCGCGATGATCAGTCTGATCAATGGCTCCCTATTTTAGAAAGTGGGCAAAATACTTTCCCTCTTCTAGCATCCTGGGGGCAGCCTTGTGTTTCAGGTCCCTGGGACTCAGCCAGGGCACCCCGCTGTGGCCTGTCCACCTGGAGGCAAAGTGTCAAGGAGGAACACATAGCCCGGCCCCTGCAGGCCTTCTAATCCCAAGCCCCGCGGTGGAGGGAATGTCAGGTTCCGCATGCTCTGTCTGTCTTTCTCTAGGGCTGCCCCCGTCCTAGTAGTGTACGTTTGGCCATCTTTCTAGTGCGTCTATTGGACGCACAGCCCAGAGGAGAAGTGAAAGGCCACCATGCAGTCACATGAGCTTGGCCCGAGTCACACTGTCCCAGTGATGGCGGGCAGGAGCTGCCCGAGAGGCTGCAGCAGCCTCCTCCGGAAGGAGACGCGCCGGTTGCAGGCAGAGCTGCTTAGAAACAGCTTCTTTATTTCACCAACGCTTGCTATGTGGTGGCACCGCTGAGGAGGCTTTGGGGCCCGAAAGGAACTTCGGGGGCCCATGGGGACTGCCCTGCGAGCTTGGTGTCCGGGCTCTCCCACGGGAAGAGGGACCCTAGGAACTTGCTCCCAGCCCCCTGACTCCTGCCAGCCCTGTGCCGCCTCTCACAGGCATCTTGGTGAAAGAGTTCCGGGACCGGGCCTCCCTCCTGAACGGCAGCTACTCGTCCATCCTGCTCCCGCACTACTTCCACGGCTGTGGGCACACGGTCTACAACGGCGCCCTCTACTACCACAAGGGCGGCTCCAACACCATCGTGAGGTGAGCCTGGCGCGGAGACCCCAGCCGCCACCTCTGTCCCAGGGCCGGCACTACGTGGTCTGTCGGCGTTTGTTGTCAAGTGAATTCCATGATGCCAGTCATGGCCGAGGGGGGTCCAGACCCCACAGGGTGTCACAGGCAGAACGGGGGCCAGAGAGGGGCTGGTGCCCAGCAGGCCTGGCCTGGGGGAGGGAGCAGCCTGACCCAGGGCTCCTGGAGCGCAGTTCTCTTCTGTGGGACTGGGACACGAGGGCTTTCATGTCACAGCTGAGATCACTGGAGGCGAGGGACTGTGACCCTGAGTCAGGAGTCTGTCGTTCTGGTGGGGCCTGCGGAGGCCAACTCACCCCTGCTCTACACCCCCGGGCTGCGGGGTGGGTCCCCAACTAGACAATGCCCAGGGTGGCGGCTCACCTTCCTGCCGCCCCTTGGACACTGTTGAAGGTTTGTCGATATGGTGGAAGGAGAAATAATCTCTGGGCTTTAGAAGCAGAAGCAAGCAGGTCATTTTGGGCAAATCAAAGAAGAGATATTCTACATACCAGGTGTGACGGCACACTCCTGTAATCGCAGCACACCGGGAGGCTGAGGCAGGAGGATCACAAATTTGAGTCCAGCCTGGACAATTTAGTAACTTAGCAAGACCCTGTCTCAAAATTTAAAACAGGACAGGGGATGTAGCTCAGTGTGGAGTCCCTGGGTTTAATCTCTGTATTACAAATCAAACAAACAAATAAGAGCTGTAAGCCAGGACTCCTGATTTCTGGGCCCAACTCCCCCACTTCCTCTGTGCCCTTGGACAGGAAAGGTGCCACTTCCTGTTGTCTCGTGTCCTCTGTAAAGAGATGGGCGAGAGCCTCTGGGTGCCCCCAGCTGCACCGTGGGAAGCAAGAGCCCCAGCACCCTGAGTGCCCTGGTCCAGTCGCCCAGGACACCAGACGATGCCCCCGTGGAGGCCTGGGCCCTCTCTTCCCCGCCTTCCTCCCCCACAAGGCCCCGTCTCCCCACCTTGTGGCCCCTGAGCGCCCCGGTGAGGGTCTCGGGGAGATCAGCCTAGCAGGCACAGCGCGGGCACGGCCGGAAGCGCACCCTCCTGACAGGGCAGGCTCTGTGCCCCTCCACAGGGACGGCAGCTCTACTTCCTGCTGAGAGCCACCCAAGACATCTGTGGCCCCTGCTGCCACATGGGCGGCACTCTTGTCACAGGTGGGGTGCGGACGCGTTCTTGGGTGACGTGGCGCCCGCCCCACAGACCCTGCACTCCGCCCCACGCCAGGCAGCAGCTGGGAACCCGAGGATCCCTGGCGAAGGTGCAGCTGTGGGCCCAGCCCAGGCTCAGGGACCGTCCCTGCGCCCTCCCTGCCTCCCCTGACTTGGGCTTTGCCGAGCGGCGGTCCCGGCAGCCTGGCCCGGCTCTCTGTGGCTCGCTGGCACCCTCTGGTGTCTGCCTTTCACCTCACATCCCTGCGCTGTCATCCCTGCATTTAGGCTTTTTGGAACCATGTTTCCTTACACCATCTGCATGTGGAGCCTGCAGATCAAACAACCCAGGCCCCCGGGGGCCAAGTAGTCCATGCCGTAGTTTAGTTTATCAGCCACTCACCTGCCAAAACCGTCTGCACAGCCCTGACAGTTATAGCTCTTCTCCGCTCGGGACATTTATCTTCATTGAAATTTTTGTGTAAACATTGTTCCTAATATTCCAGCATGGAATAAAAGAATAATCACAGCATGGAGTTAGAAAACTTGTGTTCAGCTGCTGGCCCTGCTGCCTGTATTCAGGGACTGGTCACTTCTCATTCCTTTGTAAACCGAAAGGATTTTACATTTGAAAACCTTTTAAAATGTAAAAAGTCATCTTTACAACCTCAGCTCAAAGACTCCTGGGGAGAGCTGTCAGGGCCCTGCACAGCAGGCGCTGGGTGAGGCTGGGCGCTGGTCCTGGCTAAGTCACATGGCCGGGACGTTGCCGCATAGGTGTGCAAGCGTTCCTGCTCGGAGGAGTGTCTTCACCCCGCTGCTGTCACCTGTGTTCCTGCTGGCACGGGCTGGTCGCTATCCCCTGCGTCTGAGGCCGACAGCACGGTCAAGGTTGCAGCAGAACAGGTTTCCCTGGAGCTGGTTAGCAACGCACACCCCGTGCAGACCCGCAAACTCGGGCCAGCAAGGAACATAACAAACCACAGGAGTGCCCACTCACATCTGCTTTTCTTTAAACATATTTCAGATTTGAATTCGGCAAAGAAACATCCCAAACTCTGAAGCTCGAGAACGCCTTGTATTTTGATCGGAAATACCTTTTCGCAAATTCCAAGACTTACTTCAACCTCGCTGTAGATGAAAAGGGCCTCTGGATCATCTACGCATCCAGTGTGGACGGCTCCAGCGTGGTCGTCGCACAGCTGGAGGAAAGGACATTCTCTGTCGCGAAGCTCATCAACACCACGTACCCCAAGTCCAAGGCCGGCAACGCCTTCATAGCCCGGGGAATCCTCTACGTCACGGACACCAAGGATATGAGGATAACATTTGCCTTTGACCTGTTAGGAGGGAAACAAATCAACGCGAACTTTAATTTAAGAACTTCCCAGGCTGTCCTTGCCATGCTAGCGTACAACATGCGAGATCAGCACCTGTACTCGTGGGAAGATGGTCACCTAATGCTTTACCCTGTGCAGTTCTTGTCAGCTACGTTAAACCAGTGATGCGCCGTTCTCCCCTCCCCTGGGCACCTGGCCCGTGTTCTCTGCGGCCACCGCTATCCCCACAGAAAATTTGTCTTTCAGGGTAGCTGATATTTAAAACAAGATTTCGTGACATGAGCGTTTGTGTGGTCGGTGAGCCCCTTCAAGAGCAGCTTGCGTGGTGAGCTGGCAGCAGACCGTGAGTTGCAATGGCTGAGACTCGCGTCCGGGCACGTTAGCACCCCTCCCTTGGGCTTTGGCTTCCCCAGCAGTAACAGAAGCATCTGGCTAAGCTGTGTGATTCCCCCTACTTGTAGGAAATCCTGATTCTCAGCTGTTACTGTTCTCACAACTTTTCCATGTCTGTTTATTTTGCTTCTTTAGCCACAGTGAACAAGTTTGCCTTGGAGTCGATAGTCCCTGCTGCTTGAGCAATGAATTCCACGCTGGTAGCCGGGGAATGTGCATGGGCCCCCCGAAGGCTTCTAAAGCACCAGGGTATCCATACTTTATCAGTCTTCTCTACCTGTGCCCCTGCCCGCACAGACCGTCCTTGGCTTCTGATTGCAGCTCTGAGATCAGCCAAAGCCAGAAGGGCCACGTGCTCGGGTTTCTCAGTGAAACACAATGGCCTTGCAGGTTCCTGTCAGTTTCTGAGGGCATGGATCTGTCCCTGTGAGTCATAAACACTGGATCTCTGGGTCATTCTGCAGCTATGGATCCACCACCAGGGCACAAACCTGGAGTGAGTGCGCACTGATGTGGCCAGGCGTGTGACCAGGCAGTTTTCGGGAGAGAGGCGCCTTTATACTTAGTATCTAGAGCAAGGCTGGGCCACCTGGCTCCGTTGCTATTGTTGTGAATAAAGTTTTATTAGCACACAGGCACACTTGCTGGTGTATGGGTCATAGTCCGGGCCTACTTCCGCTCCATAGACAGCGGCTGAACCGAGACCAGAGGACACTGTGCTCCATAGGACAGAGCGAGTCTGATTCTTGGTGGCCTCACACAGCCTGCTTTGTTCTGTCCTAAGACGTGGTGTTGATACAGCTGGAGTGCTGGCAGAAGAGCAGAGAGCAGCATGAAGCACTTCCCCCCTTGGACAGGATGCAGTGTACCTCGCTCCCAGGCGCTCCTCAGCTGTGCACTGCCTGCCAGCCCGGTTCCTCAGACATCCTTCAGCCCAGCACAGATCTCCAGGCAGAGGAGAGAGAGCTGCGGGGAGGCTGGTCAGCAGCTTGCCGGGTGCCTGCGTGCTGGAGCTTTGCTGCTCCCTTTCGCTCTGTGGTCTGGTTTGTTCCTTACTAATGGAAGCCTTTAAAACTTAAGGGCTGTGCAGGTTGAAATATTTAAATCTTTTCATCCCTGAAAATACCCAGGCAGCTGATGTGTTCGCTCTTGAGTTCCCAAGATAACGGGTATTTGATCCCCCATACTTTTTAATTAGAGGTTGTGTCGTGTTACACAGTTTTTAAAAAATACTATTTTCAGATTCATGGCTTAAAGTGAAGCAAAGCCTCCTGTCTGATCAATGTGTCTAGGGAAGGCTGGTGTTCTTTAAGGTATTTAAATATATGTGCTACTGCTTCCCAGTGCGGTACAGCTAGTTGTGAATGTGCTTTCATAACAACTAATTGTACATACATTGTAGCAACCAGTTTAGTTATTGAATTAGCACACATTCCTTGTATTCCTTTTAGAAAAACGTTTTAAAGTCATCAGTTTTGACATCTGAGCTATCGTGGGGTTCTGTTCTCTCTCACATTTTTTTTTTTTTTTTTGGAACAAGGTCTTATACTATTTGCAGATTGGTCTCAAACTCCTAAATTCAAGTGATCCTCCTGCCTCAGCTTCTCGAGTAGCTAGGACTATAGGCACACAACACCACACCTGACTCCTTGGCCTCCCCAGCAGTGGGTTGCTGATACAGAAGCTCAAACTGGGATATTTTTACTCTGGTACAGTAATATGAGGACAACTAAGGTTGAGCAATGTCTAATAGCCGTAGGCAATTGTATATTCTGGTTGACAGTTTGAACAGAATTAAAAGAATTAAGATTTTATTTTTTTCCTGCAAACAGTACTTGGGTTTTTAAAAAAGTTTGGGGCCTACTGCCACAAACCTAGTGTATATAAGTCAAGATAATGTTTCAGTGTGTAGGATTCTAATGTTTTAGAGTGTAGTTCACATTCTAGCGGGTAACCAGAATTGCTTCAAAGCGCTTCCCAACTATCTGCACTTCTGATGTCAGAATCAAACCAAATAATTCTGTAGTTCTTCTGGAATCTAAAGGAGATAGTTTCCCATTGGAAAGAAAATAAAGCCATCCCTTCCAGCCTCAAAGCCATGCTGGACCCTCTTTTAAAACATTGCTTTCAAGCTGATAAGGCGTGGAGGTGAAGCTGCAGGTGGCCTGGGTATCACTAGGCACAGGTGTTAGGATAGAAGAAGTTGCTGGCTGAAGTTTTCAAAGGAGGAATTCTGACCTGGGGCATCCTCACAGTCACCGCTGCAAGGTCAGGAGGCGAAATGTCAGACAGACAGAAGCCGCTTACAGAGTCAGTGTCACCCCACACCCCCAGAGCACATTCTGGCTGGCCGGGACACTTGGCATCAAAGCTCCCCAGGAGGATGAGCCACAGGGCTTTGCAGATTTCTTGGGGCTGCTGTGACCTTATGCATCACACCAGGAGCCAGAATTCCCCGTCTCCTACCACCCATTCTGAGCAACAGATGAAAAATGACGAATGTCTTTCTGGTTGTAATTTATTTAACTTTAATTAGTCAAATTTTTTAAACTGTGCTGTTATTTTACCTCTTACTAAGTTATGTGTAATGTTTTAAAAATTGTAACCACTCCAAGCAATACTGCGGTAGGATAATGTCAGTTGCTTCTCCGCAGAGACTCACACGCACTAGTTCCCCTGGGTACGGAAAGAAAAACACTGCTGTGCGCAGTGTTCGCTGTCAGAAAGCACAGAAGGTGGAAATCTAGCGAGGTGTGCACAGAAGGAAATGCGAGAGAGGCTTGCTAAGGTGTCAGCATGACCAAGACAGCTGAAAACCTCATATTTGGGGCTTAGGATAAAAAGACCTGTGTGAGTCTGGGCAGGGCCCTTCATCCCCTGGAGCCTCTGTTTCATCTGTAAAAAATAAAGTATTGTTATTACCTCCCGAGACGTTTCTGTGTGAAATGCTCTGCAAGTCATTCAGTTTTTGGCAAATTGTAATTATACGTGTATAGTTTCCCCGCGGGAAACCAGAGTGACACTCTTCTCCGCTTTTAATCAGGGCCACAGACGCAGGCAGGGACATGGCGTCGGCCACTTCCTCATGCTGGTCTGTGGGACCGGAGAGCAGGCCCTGTAACAGCACCAAAAATGCCCCTTAGCTACCCAGCATTAAGAGCTCAGGAGTCTGCTGCTTCCTGGGGACCCGCCCAGAAGCGGCTCTGCTACCGGGCAGCTCAAGCACACCTGCGGCCAACTTCCGTAGCTGAAATAGGATGCAGTGTGATCGAAATATATGGTGAATATTGAAGGGGTTTTTTTTTTTAAAAAAAATTATTGCAATGAAAACCACATTGCCATCAATCCCCTCAAATCCCCCCTCACCTCAGATGCACTCACCCCATCATTCTCGCCACTTTCTGCAACCGCTCTGGAGTCCTCTTTCCTGAGTGTCTTTAGCTGCACTGTCCTGGCTGCCTCGAGGTCCTGAGTCCATGCAAAACATCTCCCTTTCATGGTCATTTCGTCTTTGGAGGAGAGCCGGCATCTCACGGTGCCAGATGTGATGAATAAAGTGGATGAAGACCCAGCATCACGTTTTTACAGGCCTGCCCTTCCATTACGGGAACTCGGTAGCAACGTTCATAATATTTTTTTATCACACCTCATCAAGACACTCACGAAAGAGGACTTCCAGAACTGCTTCAGAAAGTGACAAGCACATGGGACAAGTACGTACGAAGTAAGAGCCAGTGTTTGAAGTAACGGGGTAATTAATGCACATGTGTTTAACTGCAATAATTTTTTAAAAATTTAAACATTCACTGTATTTTTTGATTACCCCTTGTATAAAGACAAAAGAGACATTCAAAGAGAAAACAGTAGTCTTACCCTGTAGGGGGCCTGTAAGTGCCTGTGACCTTGAGCTATCCGACATAGCTCTTCCCTGCAAGGCTGAAAATAAAGATGAAAGCAGTGTCACAGGTGATTTTGCAATCCGCTTGCATCAGCTGTGGTAATGGAGCTAAGCTTTAATTAAGAAGCGGTCAGGCTACTTCTAGAAGGTGATTCTGTGTCTATGGTCTGAGGATGTCCATGCCTTCTGCTTGTTTGCCAAAAAGACACATCCACTGTCGGGACGATAAAGGCCCGCAATAGACAAGACCTTCACAGGACATTCGAGAACCTCTGGCTTCAAGGTCTGGGACAGCGAGACCGGAGCAGGTCCTCAGCCCAGGACAGCTGCTGGCCAGGAGGGAGAGCACACTGTCTACCTCACCTGGCCACTGCCAGGGAAGACGGGGCTTCCTGCCACTGGAAGGTAACATAATTCATGTGGAACAGGTTTGTAAAGGGTGCGCCTCTTTATAAGGCTGGTATGCCCGGCAGAGATTGGTCACCACTTCCAGGGTGACTGGGCCTGCTGGAATCCAGTCACTCTGGGGATACCACCCGGGATGGCCTTCCCTGCCCAGAGTGTAGACACATCGAAGTAGCCACCGCTGGGTGTCGGGTCGTGCTGTGGCATCTTCCAGACAGATTGCACCAGAGTGGGCTCCTGAAATATCTCTTCTCCCGCTGGAGTTTAAATCTTCCTCAAGCGCAGGAGACACTGTGACGTGCTTGTGCTTGGATTCTGCTTCCAGTGCTGGGAGCTCTGTCCCCACAACCTTTGTCTGCAGAAGCTTCCAGACTGCACAGAGCTGCATCCCTCACCCACGGACAAGTCAACAGGTGCACAGGAAGCCCTGGACACTGCCACCTCTGTAACACCATTCTGGTGCCAGAGGCCCCATGGTTCAGCTAAGTCTGTCCCCAGGCCTGTGTCCCAGACAGATTCCTTTCCTTCGCCTGATGCTCCTGGCCCTCTGTCTTGGTTACTTTTTTCTCGTTGCTGAGATAAAATACCCGATGCCCCAAATTAAGGAAGAAAAGGTATATTTAGCTTACAGTTTGTGGAGATTTCAGTCTATACTGGGCTGGCTGCAACACAGCGTGGCACAAGGCAGAGGGCAACCGTTCATGGCGGCAGAAGACAGCTCAGCAACAAGAGCAAAAGGGAGGAGTGGCGGCAGGAGTGGCAGAGGGAAGCAGCCTCTTTTCCTCCCTTACATTGTATGCAAACTACCCACCCCAGGGCAGATGTAGTGCTCACACCCTTAATCCCAGCATCGGACTATGGATCAATAAAATATCTAGGAGCCCGCCCCAGGACTGCATGAGGACATGCAGATACCATTCAAAACACCCCCGCTTCCAGGATGCTGGACCCGAGGTGTTCCGAGCTACTGCCTCCCAGCCAGCCTCTTCCTCCAAATTCGCTTCCCAGGGATCCCAAGCACGTAAACACAGCAGGCCAAGCAAATTTTGACTTCTGACCAACAAAACAATTTAGTTAAAACATGTCTCATAACTTTCATGGGCTGTACTCACACTAGCAGTTAAAGTATTTGAAATTCCAGTTTAACTGGGAGTCCCGCATTTCTCTTTGCTAAATCTGACAACCCTGACCAGGTACAGGCCCAGAAAGAAGCCCTGGGCTGAGGGTGGAGCAGATGGGACATGGTCCGCCGTTGGCATCAAGGAGGTACAGCTCTTACAGTTGCCCTGGTGATGAGCTCTAAGGCACTCGGAGGACAGGCCAGGTCGCAGAGGCTCTGCCTCAGTGTGTGAGGTCCAGGGACAGTGAGGATCAGGAGCCCGCGTCTCGTAGCACACACTGCAGACCCAGCACTCTGGGATTTTGAGCCCAGCCTGGGCAACTTCGTGACCTAGTAAGACCCTGTGTCAAAAAATAATAAAATTCAATTGAAAGGACTGAGGATTTAGCTCAGTGCCAAAGGTCCTGGGTTCAATCCCCAATACTAGGAAAAAGAAGAAAAAGATAATGTGATCAGGTGGTGCTGGACTTGACTGGCACTCTGGCGACAAAAGCTGGGCATGATTAATCCCCACGGGAAAGCAGAGGGCCTCTGTTATGGTTTGTGTCTGGATGTCCCCCCAAAGCCTCATGCAGTCATGGGACAGGCTTCTAGATTTATGATTGATTCGTGGTCCAGTGTTGGAATTATGGATGTGAGTGCTACACTTGCCCTGGGGCAGGTAGTTTGCATACCCTGTAAGGGAGGGAAAGAGGCTGCTTGCTGCCCTTCCTCCCTTTTGCTCTTGTTGCTTTTGCTGTCTTCTGCTGCCATGAACAGTTGCCCTCTGCCCTGTGCCACTCTGCCTTGGAGCCAGCCCAGTATAGACGGAAACCTTAACAAACTGTGAGCTAAACAAACCTTTCCTTCCATCATTTTGGGCATCAGGTATTTTGTCTCAGCAACGAGAGAAAAGTAATCAAGGCAGCCTCCTTCGCAGCACCTTTCACCCTAGCACTCCCAGAAGCTCCTCTCTCCTGCAGAGGGCCGGGAAAGCTCAAAGCCAACATGTTCCACTAAAATCTACATTCCTGATTCTCGAGTACACAGTACATTGTTAGCCAGAGCTCTGTGGTACGGTGTCTCTGACCCCTGCCCCGCAGCCTTCCCACAGGCAAGGCTAACCACCATCCCACTCTGCTCCCAGGAGTCCGGCTTCCCTACCCGCCCCACACCAGCGAGACCTGCAGGGCCGGTCTGTCCATTGCACCAGTCCTGGGGTGCCAGTCACTGTGTGCTGCCCGTGGGGCCTCTGCATTGTGCTCCCAGGCTGTTCCCGCTCATACCCCCTCCTGGCCGGGCCAGGGCTCCCTTCAGTGTGCTCACCAGGCTGCCTCGGCTCTGTGCACCCACCATTCTCACAGGCGGAGGCGGAGCGCACTGTGCTTCCGTGTGCATTTTGGCGACCAGTGAAGACATTCAGCATTTTGCATAGACTGGTTGACCACTTGTAATCTTTTCAGGAAATACCCAGGTTTTTGCCTATTTTTAGACTTTGCTGTTTTCTTTGTTTTGAGATGGGGCACTGCAGCGTCACCAGTCATAGGGGTTCAGCTGCAATCAGAAGAAAGCGGGAATTTCCTCCTTCCAATCTGGCTCAAAGGGCGGGACAAGGACGGCCTTGGACATCCTCTAGACTCAATTTATAAGCTGTGGTCCCCAACAATCTGTGTTGCACAACTTCAGTTGATGTGGTTAAATTTTTTTTAAAATAGCGGTGATATATAAAAGGAAAACCAACCAGGAAATCCTGGTAATATTGGGTGGACAGTGGGAAAAGATAGAGGAAAGGAAACCACAGTGACCCAGACTGGAGGTTGAGGGGAGAAGCAGTTGTGCTCTCTTAAAGATCAGCTTCCTTTCTGGGGAGGAGAGGAGGCTTGCTATCCTGTCACAGCGGAAGTTGGCAGTGCCTGGCGATTTCCGGGGGCTGGGATTGTAGAGCTGAGATGGAGGGGGAGAATTCGGTCAGTGAGGACGTTTTATAGTCAGGTGTAACCCAAATGCTCTGGGCTGCCTTTCTCAGTAGAGTGACTAGAGATGACGACAGTGTACCGCATATTTCAAAAGCCTGGCCGGACGTGGTGGTGCACGCCTGCAATCCCAGCACTCGGGAGGCAGAGGCAGGAGGATCATTGCAAGTTCAAAACCAGCCTGGGCTACCAAGTGAGCCCAAGGCCAGACTGAACTGCACAGCGAGACCCTGTCTCAAAAAGACAGAGAAAAAAAAAAAAAAAGCCTGGAAGAAAGAGATTTGAATTTTTCACCATAGGGAAATAAGAGATGCTGTGGAGATCAATGTGTTTATCCTAATTGTTATGGTTTGTGCCTAGATTTCCCCCACAAAACCTCATAGCATCGTGGGATTTTTTTTTGTGGGTGGCTGAATCTAGAGTGTGTGATTGATTTGTACTGCAGTGCTGAGATTAAAGGTGGGTGATTGCTGGATCAGTCCACTGAAAGGACTGGCACCGCCCTGATCCGAGCAGATAAGGGACAGAAAGAGGCTTGTCTTGCTCCCCTTGTT